CCCCAAAACCCCAAAACCCCAAAACCCCAAAACCCCTAATAAGCCCAGCTGCCTTGGAATAATAAAGAGTAAAACCAAATGGACTTCATTTCTAAGCCTACCATGAAAATAGTAGTGTTCCTGTTTTTGTCGCTATTAAGCACTGTAAATGCAGATGGAGGTGGAGGTGGAGGTACTGATTACACACTTAATGGCGCAGATTGGACAGACGCACTCTGTCAGAACGGTAAGCAACTTCGGGCCTTGGTATGGCTGTAAGAGCCAGGAGGGGCTATGGATAGCTGGGGGATGTATTATATGATCACCTCAATTACGCTTAAAGAAGAGTTTCTGTCTGAATGCTGATAAAAGCTAACAATGGTGCTCCAAGTTCATCTTTCCTCAGTTTAATTCGAACTGGGGTTCCTTCAATCCTAAAATGTATACGGAGCTGAAACACCCAACTTTTTAAACTAAGGTAGTTTCTTTTTGATTTAAAAATATAATTTTCGAGTAGGATATCTTAAGCAACTTCTTTTGATAATAGGTTGACAATAGAGCTTAGGTTGAGAGAATTCTTACCAGAGCAAAGCTTCTAAAATTGGATTTAACTCAAGGGATCGAGAGCTAAGAGGTTTAGAGGCACATCATTTTCTCATCTTTTCAAATAGTTTTAGTTTAAAAATGGATAGCAAATTTTTCCATGACTCATTTTGAACAGTGTTCATCCTTTTGAAAAGATTAAGTTGAATGAGTTATACTAGGCTTTTATAGCTGTTTAAACTGAAGTCATGGATGCCTCATTTGTTAATAAATAAAGTTTGTTCTACCACCTCCTTTCAAATATCTTAACTAAAATTTTATCGGATACAAGAGCAATTATTAAACCCAAACTGATAGTCCTATTAACCATACAATTCTCTTACTTAAGTCAAAATAACTTCATTGACAATAACCAAATATAAGAAAATAAAGTTCAGATATTAACCTGTAACATTTTAAATTGATTAACCAATATAAAATACCACTAAAATTCCAAACCTTACCTTCCATCCTCCCTGCCCTTACCCACTACTACAAACTCCCTCTTTGTTTACTTCTTTTCTCCATAAAACCTAGTCTTTCAAGACTCACATCCGCTTCCATCCCCCATAAAGCTATTTTTTCAAGTTTTATCATTTTGACTTAGTTCTTAAATTTTACATAAAAATTCCCTTCAAAATCCAAGATTTTGTATCTAAGGAAACTATCTTTAGCTAGATTCTACCTGACTGCAAATTTACTAATGGATGTTTATAGGCACAAGACAAAGCCCCATCAACATTGACACGAAGTATACGTAAGTCTGGATTTGGTTTGGTGAAGTACTTGTAGAGGCGGGATTAGGCCAGCTTAAGCTAGAAGAAACAAGCCCAAATTTGATAATTGGAAAATTTGGGATGGAATGTTCGATAAGATTTTAGGACTCTAGGGCTTTTTAGAGACTGGTTGGGGGATTGTGAGAAAATTTTAGTGACCAATGAGGTTAAATAAGGATTTTATAGGAGTATTCTGACTGATAGGACTGTATCAATTGATGGAAGAAATGTTTCGCCTGTTACATTAAGCTATGATGCAAGTAATTTGAAGATAACTGATAATTTCATTGCTGGTGCTACTTTAAGATCAGATGAGGAAGTGAGAGAGTATACATCTGTTAATACTCATTTCCATGCTCCATCTGAGCATACTATTGATGGAGTCCAAGCTGATCTTGAATCTCACACAGTATTTGCCAGACAAGGTAGAACTTATGCTGATTATATTGTTTTGAGTGTAATGTGGGTTCATGAAAACGATGCTAAAAATGATTCTTACTTAGAAGCTATCAATGCTGGTGGACTCACAAGTACTCCATCAACACAAAGTATTTCAAATGTTCCTTTTAAAGACTTCTACGGGTGGGCAAGCCCAAAAGAAAAGTATACTTATGTCGGATCTCTGACTACACCAAACTGCACTGAAAATGTTGAATGGTTTGTTGTAAAGGAAAAGAGAAAGATTAACTCTGCTCAGCTTTTAGAGTACACCAGCAAGTGGGCAGGAAACAGCGGATTTGCTTCAGGTAAAGGAAACAACAGAATCTTGAGACCCCTTGGAGCTAGACAAGTTCATCTCACACACGGAGAAAAGAGTAAGAATTAAATCAACCTAATGAAGAGCTCTTGATTCAAAGCCTTAACCAATTTTTCAATAATTTTCCTGAAATCCAGTTAATAACCTTCTGTATAGTTGATAAATGGGAACTAGCATCGATAGTCCTCTTTTGCTTGTTAGGTCTTCTTTTATTTGTCCTCTCAGGAATGATATACTATAAATTCGTGTATAAAAGGAACAAAAACCAAAGTAATAAAGTAAGTCCAACCTAGAGAAAGACAGCTTGTTCTGGAACTTTGATTCAAGGGTTCTTCAGTCTCTCTGCTAAGGGACTAGGACAAAACTATGCCTTAAAGAACCCACTTTAAGATCTTCAAATTTTGTAGCCGAGCTTATCCGATATTTATTGATTTTGATAATAGGGATATGGAAGAAATTCAGAAGCTCAAGGCTTGAAAAATGAAGGAGGACAAGAGAGTCACCCATGTGCAGAAGAAAACTAGTAGGAAGGTCAAGCAATTCGAAGAATTTGGAGATTTGGTGAGTCTCTAAAATCTCATTTTAAATGCTTCCAATCAAAAATATTTGTTATGGGGTTTTGGGGTTTTGGGGTTTTGGGG